TAGTCCTCACGTAGTCTTCACGTAGTCTTCACGTAGTCCTCACATAGTCTTCACGTAATCTTCATGTAGTCCACACGTAGTCCTCACGTAGTATTCACGTAGTCCTCACGTAGTCCTCACGTAGTCCTCACGTAGTATTCACGTAGTCCTCACGTAGTTCTCACGTAGTCTTCACGTAGTATTCACGTAGTATTCACGTAGTCTTCACGTAGTATTCACGTAGTCCTCACGTAGTCCTCACGTAGTCCTCACGTAGTTCTCACGTAGTCTTCACGTAGTCTTCACGTAGTCTTCACGTAGTCTTCACGTAGTATTCACGTAGTCTTCACGTAGTTCTCACGTAGTATTCACGTAGTCCTCACGTAGTTCTCACGTAGTCTTCACGTAGTCTTCACGTAGTCTTCACGTAGTCCTCACGTAGTCTTCACGTAGTCCTCACGTAGTTCTCACGTAGTCTTCACGTAGTCTTCACGTAGTCTTCACGTAGTCTTCACGTAGCCCTCACGTAGTCCTCACGTAGTTCTCACGTAGTCCTCACGTAGCCCTCACGTAGTCTTCACGTAGTCCTCACGTAGTCTTCACGTAGTCCTCACGTAGTCTTCACGTAGTCCTCACATTTGCGACGATACTCAGATTGGTTACATTTTGGAATTTCCTGTCAAAATTATAATTTTTGTACCATAATATACAATAATTAGACTATGGCATTTGAGGCTTCTGTCATTTTTTTCTTTCGTATCTGGTAATTCGTGAAGGTGACTGATGTTTGTCTAAGGTATGAGTCACACTGTGCCTCCCGTCCCTCACCTTCCCGACTTCATATTACAATTTCCTAACTGAAAAACTCCTGACGAAGTGCTAGTGACATTACGAAAGGCCTTAAATTACTACATTCTTCTAGTTTTCCATATATGATCCAATTAATATATATATATATATATATATATATATATATATATATATATATATATATATATATATATATATATATATATATATATATATAAACTTCTTTAATCTCCTCTACATGAAGCTCTACGATAATTTGTATTTCATATAAATTTTCGTTATCACGTCTACATAAATCACCTTCATCCAGTTGCCTTTGTGTATCTACTGTAAAAAAACATTATATTACTGTCCGTGTTTTACTATCAAATATTTGCCACATCGTATGTGTGTTTGTGTGTGTGTGTGTGTGTGTGTGTGTGTGTGGTGTGTGTGTGTGTGTGTATGTGTGTGTGTGTGTGTGTGTGTGTGTGTGTGTGTGTGTGTGTTTATTTACACATTTAGATCTAGTCTACACTGATATTTTGTTTTATCACCAGGATACTGTAGGAATTTTGTATCCAAATCTTAAAAATAAAGAGATTTTAAGTTGTAAATTAGTGTATATTTACAGGTAATTACAAGCTGCTGGTTTTCTTGTCCACGAGAAGAAATACTGTTGAGTCGTTCATCGTAACTCATTGATGAGTTGTGTTCACTTTGACATCAGTAATTATCAAATGATGATTTGTGTTCAGTCTGACATCAATAATTATATATCTGTGTTTACCTAGACATTAGCATTGATAACTGATTGGTTGTCCTTTTTTTTAATAATAATAATTATATTTATCATTAATGTGTTCACTCTTCTCCATCAATAATTATCATTGATGATTTATGTTCAATAATAATGATACTTATCACCGATGCTTTATATTTTCTACGATAATAATAATAATAATAATAATAATAATAATAATAATAATAATAATAATTATCATTGGTAATTTACCTTCTCTTCAGTAATAAAAACCGCGAATTAATTCTTCATTTCCATCTCTCATTTCTCTTCTTTTCCTTCTCTATTTTCAGAGGTCACAACTCACAGGCTTGTCGGGGTCATCACAGGTCTGGAGACCCAACACGTCATGCACCAACTAATTTTGACCCCGTGCAACCTATTCTGCATCTACTAATGACTGCAAGACCAGCTTTCATCGAGACAAAGTTAGTGTTTGTGTGTGTGTTGTCCCAAACGAGAGCTAGTAACGCAATGAGTGTCCTCTTTCCACAGGTGGGAAAGCAGAGGTCAAAGTCCTCAGATCTCAGGGCACTGCCCAGGGTCATCACAGCAGTAAGAGGCCACCCATACAGGCCAGAAACCAGAGGTCACATTTCAGAGAATTTCTGGAGTCATCACAGCTCAGGAGACCATCAGTCATAGATCACCACGTCACGGGGAGGCACAAATCATAGCTCAGGGGCCATATTTCATAGATTTTCAAGACGCCGAAGGCTTGAGTAGGGAGAGAAGGCGTGGGGAGAAAGGGTGAGGGGGTCAAGAAAGACGGGGGGAAAAGGTGAAGGAAATGGGGGTGATAAAAGTCGTGCATCACTCGGCGAAGTCAGCAGGTCTGGTGAAGCGGTAGAAGCAGGTGTCGTCACCGGGAACCCGAGGAATTTCTTCTTCGTAAGGCTTCACTCTCTCTTCCTTCAGCTCCAGCCGCACCTGCAGGAGAACACACATTACTGCTGATTCTCTCTCTCTCTCTCTCTCTCTCTCTCTCTCTCTCCTCTCTCTCTCTCTCTTTCTTTCTTTTACACAGGATTTTACATGATTAAGTTTAAGGTTCCTGATTTCATATACAAGCTAAGTGCTGTTACCTACATCAGCTCATTTGAAAGCCTTTTCATTATTAAGAGATTTACAGATAGGGAACAGGATGAAGTTGGAGCCATCTGGGGGCCAGTGATTTCATCTGACTCAACTCACTTTATATCTTTCATGTCGTTATGTTGTACGAACACTTTTTGATGACTTTCCATATTTCATCAACTCGCCAGAGCTGTGAAAATTACCACATCAGTGTGTAACAGTACGAAAAATAATATCAACAGTGCTCAAGAAAAACGTAAAACTGACGTCAACACGAGACGGTACAAAGAAAGACATCAGTGCAGACCCCCCTTCACCACCCCCACAAAAATGACATCAGCACATCACAACACAAGAACATCAACACACCACAAAACAAGAACAACATCATCACACCACAACACAAGAACATCAACACACCACAACACAAGAACATCAACACACCACAACACAAGAACAACATCAACATATTACAAAAACAAAATCAACCCATCACAACACAAGAACAACATTAAGACAACAAGGAATCGTTGCAACACACGACTGTGGGAGGGACGCACAGGGAGGGATGGAGGGATATACGGAGGGGCTATAAAGGGAGGGGAATATATAGGGGGGAAGGGAGAAGGAGTATCGAAGCAATGTTCTCGAGTCAGAGAACCACCTGAGCCAAGGGTGAGCCCAGAAAGTGAGTTATAACTCCATTTACGTCCAATCTTATCTCCCACCTTCTCCTCAAGATGGAGTCGTGCTGTCCCTCCCCTCCATCCACCCTTTGCAAAGAGAGGGAGGTTCTTTGGAATGCCATCCGAGTATGGCTCTTGATCAAAGGAAATTTTAGAGATAACCCGCTTAATGATTACCTCCACCTAGCAGTGTTGATAAAACCAAACGGTTGCGATTTTACCATGGCAGAGTGACCCTAAATTCGGGTCTTCAACTGACTGATTCCATTCCCGGTCCGTGTAATCAGTGCTGAGGGATCCTCTCAGGTCCAAACATGTTAAGGATTCGATTCATTCCTTCGGGCTGAAAGTCGAAACTAACTGTATTCTCCTAAGTTTCAGCAGATAAGGAGATGATTCACTTTTTGCTCAAAATTAGATGATTTGAGTTCTTTCTGTCCAGGAATTAGGGACTTGACTTCTCTCTGATCCGTTACTTACTACTACTACTACACTACTACTACTACATACTACTACGACTACTAAATAATAATAATAAAAAATAATAATAAAAATAATAATAATAATTAATAGTCAATACTAATTATTATAATATTATTATTACGACTACTACTAAGACTACTACTACTATACAATTCTACTACTATTCCTACTACTACTACTATAACTACACTACTACTACTACTACTACTACTACTACTACTATCTCCAACGGGTTCGTTACCGCAATAGCTAACGAATATTCGTTACTAGTGCTATCTCCCATCGGCTCCGTTGTGGGAACGATCTTTCAAAGCCAGAGTTGCTGCCACTCTTCCCCCTTCCTAAACCCTCCTCATCCCTCACCATACCTACCCCTTCCCCCTCTTCAATCCCTCGAGAACCCCCTCCTCCTCCTCACGCTGCCTATCTCGTCCCGACCGGGTGTGTAATTCCACAGCTACAATTCCCGTGTTCCCGATTCCTAGATAACTGGAATGATTCCAGGGGAAATCAACCCACTCTGATGAGCTCTCTCTCTCATCTTCTCTCTCTCTCTCTCTCGTCTCTCTCTCTCTCTTTCTCTCTCTTTCTTCAGCCAGTTGTCTGTTCACCCTGCTGTCTGTTGATCTAGCTGTCTGTTCATCCAGCTTACAACAACTGAGAGAAAAGAAAAAGGCTTTTCCACGTCCTCCTTCCACGGAAATTATATATATATATATATATATATATACGTGAATTAAAAGGGTAAAGACAGCTGGAACAGATGGGATCATGACAAAATGTTAAAAGCAGGGGGGGATATATGTTGAGTGTTGGTACTTTTGTTTAATAAATGTATGAAAGAGGGGAAGGTACCTAGGGATTGGCGGAGAGCATGTATTGTCCATATATATAAAGGGAAAGGGTGAACAAAAGAGATGGTAAAAATTATAGAGGAATATAGTTTATCTGATATACCAGGAAAAGTATAACGTAGGGTTTATAATTGAAATAATTAGAGGTAAGACAGAATGTAAAATGCGGACGAACAAGGAGTTTCAGAGTGGGTAGGGATGTGTAGAGCAAGTGATTAACAATTGAAGCTATATGTGAACAGTAATTTAGATAAAGTAGGTAAAGTTTTTATTGCATTTATTGATTTAGAACAAATGCATATGATAGAGTGGATAGAGGAGCAATGTGGCAGATGTTGCCAAGTTTAATGGAATAGGTGGTAAGGTTACAATGCGTAAAGAGCTTTTATAGGATAGTGAGGCTCAGGTTAGGTGTGTAACGAGAGGAGAATACTTTTTTCCGGTAAAGTAGTCTTAAACAGGGAAATGTGTAATGTCACCATGGTTGTTTAATATAATTAAAGATGGGGTTGTAAAAGAAGTAAAAGCTAGGGAGTTCGGGGAGATGGGGTGGGAATTAAATTATGGGGAATCAATTCAAAATGGGAATTGACACAGTACTTTTTGCTGATGCACTGTGCTTAAGGGAGATTCTAAGACAATTGCAAGGATCGTGATGAGATTGAGAATTGTGTGTACAGGTAAGAAAGTTGAAAGTGAAACATAGAAAAGAGTAAAGGTGATGAGGGTATCATATGATTTAGATATAGACAAATGGATATCAAATTGGGGAGGATGGAGTATGGAAATAAGTGAAATGTTTTTCAGATACTTGGGAGTTGACGTGTCCACGGAATTGGATTATTATGGAGGATGAGTGAAATCATAGAATTGATGAGGGAAAAAGGTGAGTGGTGCGTGTGAGTATAAATGAGTGATCAAAAAGCGTTTATCTATGGAGCAAGATAGGGAATGAAAGAAAGTTTAGTCGTAACAAACACTCTTATATGGATGTGAGCTTGGGTGGTAAATTCAGCAGCGAGGAGATACGGTGGAGTGCAGTGGAGATTCCTGACACTAAAGGGTCAATGTGTGGTTGTAAATATATGTCAGAAAATTCAGAGTGTGGTAATTAGGAGAAGGTGTGGAATTAATAAAAGCATTAGTCAGAGGGCAAAGAGGGTTGTTTGAGGTGGTTTGGTTCATTTAGAGAGAATGGATCAAAGTAGAATGACATGAAAGCATAAAAATCTAAGGTAAACGAAAAGAGGGTTAGGGTTCGATCCTCGAAAGGGTTTTGGAAAGAGGGGTAGAAGGAGGTTTTATGTGGGTGAGGTGCTTGACTATCCAGCAAGCGTGCATGAGCGTGTAGATAGGATTGAATGGAGACGAATGATACATTGGGACCTGACTATCGTTGGGAGTGTGAGCCGTGTAATATTTAAGTTAAGGGATACCAAGGGAAACCGGTTATTTTCATATAGATCGGAACTATAGTCCTGAAATTGGGAAAAAAGTAACAATGCCTTCAACTTTTAAAGGAGGGGTTTTGGGAAATTGGCAGTTTGGAGATATTTTGTGTATCTCTATACCCGTATATTCTTCAACACTGTATTATATTCAGAGCACCTCTGCTAAAAGCAGTGATAATGTTGAGTGTGGTTGAAAAGTGTTGACTGAGAAGAAAGTATTTTCTTTTGGGGATTTTCTTTCTTTTTTGTGGGTCACCCTGCCTCGGTGGGAGACGACCGACTCTGTTGAAAAAAAAACAAAAAAAAAAACAAAAAAAAAAAAAAAAAAAAAAACAAATAGATATCGTAGTAAATATAGAAAATAATATAAATATAAATTATTTTTTTTTTTACACACTGGGCCGATTTTCCGCCACCAAGGCAGGGTGCCCGAAAAGAATACTTTCACCATCCATTCACTCCATCACTGTCTTTGCCATAAGGTGCTTATACACTACAAGACTACAGTTTTTAAAACTGCAACATTACCACCCCTCCATAATATAAATATATTTATATTATAAGTATATATAAATATATATATAAATATATATAAATATGTTATGTATATATATATATATATATAATATATATATTAAAATTTAAAATTATATATGTATATATATATATATATATATTATATAAAAATTAAATATATATATAAATTATATATATATTATATATATATATATAAAATATATATAAATATATATATATATATTATATACATATATATATATAAATATATATATATACTAATATATCTAAGTGATAAATATACAATATCTACTAAATATATATATGATACATATATATAAATATACATATAATAATATATACATATATAATATATATAAATTACCTATATATATAGAAGATACATAAATATAAGTATATATATATCTATACTTATATATATATATATAATATATATATAAATAAATAAATACATCTAAATAAAATATATAACCTAATAAATATAATATAAATATATATATAAATAATACATAATATAATACATATATAAATATATATAAAATATATATATATATATATATATATATATAATCTAATAAATAATAAATATATATATAATACTTATATATATATATATATATATATATATATAATAAAATCAAATTAAATATAAAAGTATATATATATATATATATATTAACATATATATATATAATATAACTATATATATATATATAAATATATACTATATATATATAAATCTATATATACATAAATATATATATATATATATATCTATATATAATATATATATAAATATATATATATATATACAAATATAAATATATAAATAAATATATATA